GGTGAGTAGAAAATGAAGGCTAATCATGTTTTGGGTGTACTATTCCTTTAAACAATGACTCACATCCTCTCCATGACACACTGGTCCAGCAGACGAGCTCCTTCAGCAGACGACTTTTTTTTTTTATATATATATATATATACTTTATTAGAAAAATTTTATAATACAGAGAAAAAATACAATTCACAGTGAACAATCACCAGGGGTTTGAGCAAAAGAAAAAGAAAATAAACAAATAAAATAAAAAGTAATTCAATAAAAGTAACAAAGTAATAGTAAATAGAAGCATATAAAGGGATTATATAAATACTTTAAATTTAGAGCATAAAGTTTAAGTTTTAGCAGCTTTTTTATTATTGCAGGAGGACAATGTAGAAAAATAAGTACCGTAGTTGCTTCCTTTAGAAAAGAAATACATGAGGGTTTATTCACAATAATTTTACATTTGTGGATATAAAACTTGGCCAACAGTAACAAAAGATTACATAAGAAGAAATGTTCAGAAAGTTCTTTTTTATATTTTGTGATTCCAAATAAAACATCTTGAAAATAAAGTTCAAATTTATCATAAATATTGTCTAGAATGAAGCGACAGATATCTTGCCAAAAACGCCTGGTGTGTTCACAGGACCAAAACAGATGAGAGACAGACTCTGAGTAAATGTTGCAGAAAGTACAAGTGGCATCAATGTCCTTTTTATATTTAACCAAAAATGACTTTACTGGATAACAGCGGTGAATGATCTTAAAGGAAACCCCTTTAACCTTGTTTACTAGTAAATATTCATTAGGTAAAGACCAAGTTTTGTTCCAGCATACCTCTGAGGCCAGTCCAGACCAGACTGAAATTACATAAGGAACTGAAATGTAGTTTGCTTGGAATAAAGTACGAACATGTTTGTTATTTTTAGGAGATTTAGGTTGAAAACACAATTTACCTACATAGGTGTCAGTTAGTTCAGTTGGAGGTCTCGGGCCTTTGGACAACAGAGAAGTCTGACCTTAGATAACATTATAACACCTGGTGGAATAGCATCAAAAACAATAGAAAACTGTTTTGGGCTTATAGGAATCTTAAAATTATACATAAATTCTTGATAATTAAAGAGGTTTCCTTTTTCATTGAAAAGTTGACTTACAAGTGTGATACCATTCCTAAACCAGTTTTCAAAAAACAGAGATTTTTTCTTATAACATATATCTTTCTTATTCCAAAGAAAGTACCTATTAGGAGAAAAATTATGCTTGAAGACCAGTGACCAGGCCAGAAGGGCTTGTTTATGAAAGTTAGACAGAGCGACAGGAATGCGATCAATGTTATAATTACTCAGCAAAACAAACTTAAGACCACCTATCTTAGAGAACAAATAGTGAGGAATAAATTTTCCAGATTGAGGTAGGATTTTTAAGGCAATTTTTAATCCAGTTCACTTTGAATGAATTGTTGATTGTTGTAAAGTCGAGAAAGTTAATACCTCCTGCATCATAACTATTCATTAAAACAGATTTTTTAATGTAATGAGTTTTGTTTTTCCAAATAAAGTTACATAGTGTCCTATCAATTTCTTTGCACATCTTTTGGTCAACAGCCAGAGAAATAGCCGCATAGGTTAGTCTGGATATTCCTTCAGCTTTAGAAAGTAATATTCTGCCCCGAAGGGATAAATCTCTTTGGAGCCATGGATTAAATCTTTTCTTTGTTCTTTCTAAAATTGGGCTAAAATTGAGGTCACACCTAGTATTCTGTATTTTGGTTAACGTTATTCCTAAATAATTAATGGTTTCTTTAATTGGAATATTGCAGAGATGAGAGAGT